TTAATAAAAGAGTTAAGACACATTTTTGGCAAAAAAACGCCAAAAATCTAAAATTTTTTGAATTTTTAAATTAAAAAACGTATATTTTTGGATCTGTAAATGATATTGATCTGAAATTTTTTGTATATTATTGGAAATTTTGTTGTCTAACTAACAAGAAAAAATTGAGTCCATTTGGTCCAAAATTACGCCCGGTATTCAAAAAAAGGCGGACCAAGGTATGGTAAATTTTGTATCACTAAATTTTTAAATGCCTATAACTCGGATATTATAAGAGATAAGTAGTATGTCCAAGCATGTTTTTTCAAGATCTCGTCGAGCGCTTTCACAAAATATAAAAAATCTTTGTATTTGGGTGAAAAACAAAAAAATGGCACGAGTTTAAAAATTTTACATGTCGTAGGTACCCTACTTTGAGCCGCCACAGCGCCGTCCCTGGGGCATCTGCAGGGTTCATTTTCAAAACTTAAACTCGAATACTCCTTGGCTACGCTCTCGCCAAATTTTATCCCGATCGGATCAGCCGTTTAGAAATGCCAGATTTATTTCCAAAAAATTTCCATTCTGCCCCACTGTGGGCAGTTAATATCGATAAATGTATTTCAGAGAATATGTACCTTTGTGTGGAGGCTACGGGAATTTTGGATCAATTATGATCATAATTAATCTCTGGAGGAAAAAAATAACGTGTGGCAATATTCATCGAAGAATCTTTGATAGTTTTGAAGAAATTTACTGCAGAATTATCAAAAAGCGTTATTTATCCGAAGATGTCTGAAATTTTTACTCATCACTTTTTATGTTGTGAGCCGATTTTGCTTATTTTTAATACCAAACTACTTTGGATAATACGACTATTTTCGGTAAATTTGGTTAATTTATATTGCTTAGACCCACAGACGCACTCATCTAAATCGACTCAGAATTTCGTTAGGACCCACAATATGTATACACTCGCTCTGTCTCAAACGAATATTTGTTCATGTAACACAATGACAAACATATATTCATATAATCCCTATCATCAGTGATGCTGGTGGAGGGTATAAAAAATTATACCAATTGGCTTAGAATTATTTTCAGAGTCAATTAAGTCTTGTCCAGATGGTTGGATTAAGCCTTGTTCAGATGGTTGACTTGTGTGCACGGTACAGGCCGCTATTTGGTATAAATTGGAACATACGCTTTTTCGGACCAAAGCCTATTGAAAATCGTTAAAACTCTTGCAAAGTCAAAAAATAACTCAAATGATACATGAGCCATGCTCTTGCCGACGTCACGAAAATACTTATTTTTATCTACCAATTGGTCAGATGTCGACAATATCAAAATTTGCATTAATTAAAGGGGGTTTTTGTAATTTTTTATTTAATTAATTGTCATATTATGTAATAAAATATATTTTTATTAAAACCAAAAACAAGATCTTTAAATTCTAAAAATAAACATATTTAATTATAAAAATTCGTACGGCAATATAAATTTTATTTTAAATAACAAAATTTATTACATTATCAAAATTAAATCTCCAGACAGTTTTATTAATTTTTAACATTTAATTATTCTTTATTATTTTTAAGCAATTATTTAATATTTGAACTCTGCACATCTAATTACAATTAGAAGTTGTTTATTGTTTAACTTCTTTAACAAATTTTAACAATTTGTAATTGTAGTTTTTGCCATTTAGTTCATTTCTATAGGGCATACGTATGGACTTTGTTTCACTGAAATCATTTTAATCTATTCGCTTTGTCATCGTCATCAATCTGTACTGATGCGCACAACAAGGTGAACACAATAGATTTAATTGTTTAGGGGCGGAAATATTGTTTACAAAATTTACAATACATAATATAAACATTTATTAAACAATGTAAAATATAAATGCTCTTATGACTATGTATTGCAATTTAATTGTATTCTTGAAAACAGTCAATATTTGTCTAACAAAAATTATAAAAAATAACTAACCAACAATATAAACAATTGGTCATTGTTTAGTGGGGCGGTAGTCACTAAAGTCACTCTGTCAATCTAATCATGTAATTGATGACAGATTTCATTAATTGTTTCGTAGTTGGATTTTCAGACAAAATGTAAACATCGTTGGGTTTTGTTAAGTTATAATGTGCGAAATACGTAGTGTGGTTAAATCGGAATTTCGACCTTGAATTATTGGTCGCAAACTTTCTGGAAATCTTACATTTACGAGTTAAGAGATCAGGTGTTGGTTGCAGTGCTTTAGTGTTGTCTTAATAGAGTTTGGGACAATTTGTGACATTTAACTCCCATACATTATTTGTAAAATTAGTTTTTTTTAATTTTCCCCGATTGTCATGTGGTCCAGGTGACTTATAAAAGTGAAGGCAAGACTTATTTTGGAAAATTTAAAATTTTCTAAAAATTTTCATCTAAATAAACTTTAGGACGCCTCATATTTTGAGTTCTCAGTTCCAACAACCCAAATTTTGTGTTATGTCAGTCTTGTAGTAAAATAATTCGTTTCTGTATATCGTTAACCGAAACGTGTTTTTTCAAATCTTACAAAAAACTTATCGATTTTAGTTATTTCTATTTTTTATATAGATAAAAAATAACTGGGTCGCTCATTATAAAAAAATCCCCGTTTCTGTGTGATGAAAAATCCCCTCTTAGTGCTAACAGATATTGTTATTCGTTGCGATATTGACTTCTAAGTTTGAAAATACAGAGCACTCTCGGTAATGCGACTAATTAATATAGAGGTAGTTTACATTGTAGTTTGCGTAAATTTTTATACCCACCATAAAAAAGATGCTGTAAAATTATTATCATTCCGTTTGTAACACATCGAAATATTCGACTAAGAACCCCACTACCCACATATGTCCGTCCTTTGGTTTATCTTTCTGTCAGTCTGTTGAAAGCCCTATAGAGTTCAATAGAATATTCGCGCACTGGGATAAAAGTTGTTGCTGACGCGGACTATGTTCTGATTGATTGATTAATTAAGGGGCACCAAGCACTACGACCTAAGTTAAGATCTTTTGTGCAGCCCTTTTGGTATGAATCTTAATGTTCTTGACGGTGAGAGATTGAATATTTCATTAGGCGAAAGAAAAGCGTCTCCTAGAATACTCACTCTGAGAGGCAATAATGGCTGATAGTCCCAAAGTACATGTTCGGTATAAAGTCCCGTTAGTAATCTTAGGTCACTCTTATTGAGTGATAGTAAAGCTTTTTGCCTGCCTGAGTCCTGATATTGACTCCCAGTGGCGGAGAAATTCAAATTCAACATACGAATCGCATTTTTCCCTAGTGTATTCTTTGGGGATACCAAAGAATGGTTCTGGTCCAATAAATGGTAGCCGTGCGCCCCTGTTTGCCAGACAGTCTGCTCTTTCATTGCCAGAATGTCCTTCATGACCAGGTACCCAACATAATGTGAGTTTATTATGTTTACCCAGTTCAATTAGAGATGTCAAACAGTCAAGTACGACACCCGCTCCAGTATTGCCATTAATCTGTTTGGAATCATCTGTAAACCATACTTGGTCAGCATGTTTCTGGCACCAAGTTATGTTTGTCCATTGGTCCCTTTGCGGTAAAGGAACCTCAAAGGCTCTGTGTAGTGTCAGTACTGCTGAACTACAGTCAGGAATCCATATACATATATGGTTCAAATACTGGTACCAAAAATATTTTCAGACGAGAATAGTTACATATATTATGTCCAACGCTCTGGTGCTACTCAATAACTGGGCTACGTGCAGTGGTCTAGGAGTAAATCCAATCAAGACATAATTGGTACTATACACAACAAAGACCAAAATGCGAAATTCCCTTATCAAACAATGCTGTATATATAGGAATCATCGTAGAATACAAATTATCATGGAATTTTAACATTAAACACAGGGATTTGGGATAAAATTGGGAATTAATCCCTATATATTTAAATTAATGTTAACTTACCGAACAAAAAAGGTATGTTAAGGCTGGATCGCCTACCTGATATTACCCTTATTTGGCACCCGGCAGATATGAACTATTATAACTATAAACAGACAAATGCGCTCGCCAGGACGGGATCTGGTCTTGATTTCACTAACGCCGTTTAAGATAAAACTCCCTTAAATTTTATCAAGTGAAGTATTCTCAGATTTTTTGTTCAAAAGGCTACAAATAGATGGAATAATATAGTCATATATAGAGGGGCCAAGTTATTGTGTATATTCTTTCAATGAGAAACGTACAAGACACCTTATAACCCGAAATACGTGGGATATATCGAGATTTATAGCAGACATGCTAGTCTGCTTTGGCCACACATCAATAAATAATGTCGCTGCTGCAAATACAAGGAAAATGAAGAGACGGTCTTCCATCTTCTCAGCGAATGCCCTACTCTAGCTACAAAGAGAAACGGTTTCCTTCACAATTACTTCATAACTAAGCTTGTTAAGATATCTTGGTCTAAATTAAATGACCTCCTGAGATTTCTGCTACTGGCTGAATTTATTTACTGAGAGAGTCCTTTTAACTCAACTTGACTGTTCGCGAGCAGTGAAAGTCATTACAATTGTTAATTATTATTTGTCAGTAAAACATTTTCAAAATATTCGTATGGAAATTTACCAATAAAAACATTACGTTAACAGGTAAAACTCACCATCATCACCTCAAAGAAAAACAAAAAACAAAACAATTAAAAAAACATTCTGGCTATAAAAAAAAATTTTAGACCAAGTTGTTGTTTGAGATTCGTACGAAATTTTTATGCGAGTTTTGCACACTTTTCTGACGAATACGATTTTTGAAGTGTGTTTGTTGTTCATTCAATCCATTGCGAAGCGGTGGGTTTTTCTAGTCGGTATTCGTACAAAGCTTGACTGTTGCCACTTTTGTGTTGTTTTTGTTGTTAAAAGCTTTAATACATGCTGTTTTTGTTGTTGTTATTGTTAATGCTGCTGTTGTTTAGTTGAACATTTTGAATTTTTTGTTTAAAGTTTTAATTTATTTATATTTCGACGATGTGGAAACTTTAAGACAGATTTAAATCTCAACTCAATGCAAACGGACGTTAAGGAAGAAATAATAATTTAAACAAAAATAAAATATATTTAGAAAAAAATATTTAAATAAGTGGAAATAATACTTATTGTAAAAAAAATAAAAATAAACAAAAAAAAGGATATTAATTTCTGTGATAAATTTTTTTTAAATCAAAAAAGTGTTTAAAATAAAAATGTGGAAGTTTGTATTGTGTTTAGCTGTCTTCCAAGTGATACTTGCTCAACAAAATAAAGATATACGTAAGTTATTTTCTTGTAAATTGTGTAAAGTTTTTTAAAATATAAATTATGTAAATATAAGGATGGAAAAATAAACTTTTTGAAACCTTAATTAATATTAAAAAATCTTACTTGAAAATCCTCGAAGTTCCAATAATGCTGAAACAATTCGTCTCAAATTCGCAACTGTAAACATCCAAACGAATTGATTCAAATTTTTTCTGAGTAATTAATTTCACATCTTTAAATTATATATTAAATTATGGAGGTTTAGAAAAGTTTGGACTTTGAAATTTTTCCTTTTAAAAGGAAATTTTTGTAAAAATCGAATTCTTTATAAAAACAGATCGATCTATTATTAACTTATGTCACGATCGTTTTTTAAGAGATTTTCTTAATCTAAATGATATAAATTATAGTCGAAACTTTAAGAGAATCATTTCCCTAATTTTTTATTTAAAAAATCGAATTCCTTGTAAAAGCTGATTGATCTGTTATTAACTTATGTCACGATCGTTTTTCGTTTATGAACGATTCTAAGAGATTTTCTAAATTTAAATGACTTACAATAATATAATTATAGTCGAAATTTTAAGAGAATCCGTTGCTTTTTTTATTGGAAAAGGAAACATTAAACCAATCCCGGGATCTGTAGTTTTTTCAGTTCTCTTTAATATCGAAAAATACAGCAGTATTTCCCCACGACATCGGTACAACTTCCATAGATCAATAGATTACTCAATCGAATAATCTATCGACTAGTCCATAGATTAGAATCATTAGTTCATATACAAGTCTATAGACTAAACCGTAGGCTAGTTTATAGAATAGTCGGTGGACTTGAAAATAGACTTGTTCATAGAAACGACTAGTCAGTAGATAAGACTAGTGCCATAGAATAGTTTATAGACTAACCCATATATTTGTCAATTGCGTAGTCATATCGCAGTACCCCCACGGCATCAGTACAACTTCCACAAGTCAATAGATTACTTTATCAGCTTCTTCATAAAGTCAATAAACTAGTCCATAGATTAGGAAGTAGACGACTCGAAGATTAGTTCATATAAAAGTCTATAGACTAAACAGTAGGCCAGTTCATAGAATAGTCGGTGGACTTGTAAATAGACTTTTTCATAGATTAGTCCGTATGATCTAGGTTCCCTAGATCATAGAATAGTCAATTGTATATTCGATATAATAGTCAATAGACTAGTGCATAATCTAGAGCATAAATAAACCAGTCAATAGTTCATATAGTAATAAAAAGACTAGTGCCATAGAATAGTTTATAGATTAACCCATAGATTTGTCAATAGACTAGTCCATGGCTAGTCCATAAGAGCGTCAATATACTAGTCCAAAGAATTTGTCTACTCAAGAGAATAGTCTGTCAATAGTACAAAATTAATTCATAAAAAGTACACTTTTTAATAATGCAAAGCAACAAGTCCCGTTTGCTTTTACTGCTCTTTCTTCCGATCTTATCATTTCCATCATGTTTTCTTTAAGACGAAATTAAACGATACTTTTTTCTGTTAAACGTCAAAACAATGGGCGTTTGTTGTTTGTTATCCCAATTGTAATCAAACTGTTACAAGTTTTCTATAAGTTATAAAGCTTGTTTTTACAATTTTTAAGACGAAATTAAACGAAACTTTTTTCTGTTAAACGTCAAAACAATGGGCGTTTGTCGTTTGTAGTCCCAATTGTAATCAAACTGTTTATACCCACCATCAAAAAAGATGGGGGGTATATTGATTTTGTCATTCCGTTTGTAACACATAGAAATATTGGTCATAGACCCACAAAAGTATATATATTCTGGGTCCTCATTAAATTCTAAGACGATCTAGCCATGTCTGTCCGTCTGTCCGTCCGTCTGTCTGTCTGTTGAAAGCACGATAGAGTCCGAATGAAAAGGGTTGAAATTTCACATAAATATTTCTTATAGGTAAGGTTTGTTTGGTATTGAAAATGGGCAATATCGGTCCACGTTTTCGGATAGCCCCCATACAAGTGGCCCCTCGAAAAGCAGCTTTAACAGCCATAACTTGTTTAAAAATACGAATATAGCGATGAAATTCGATATAAGTAAGTTTCTTATGATCCAAAATCAATATGCGATTTTATGAGGATCGGTCCATAATTGACCCTACCCCCCATATAAGGTCCCCTTCAGAAAATGACTTTAACGCTCATTACTGGCTTAAAAATACTAGTATATAGATGAAATTCGACATAAGTAAGTTTCATACGAGTCAAAATCTATCTAAAAAATTTTATGAGGATCGGTCCATGATTGACCCTACCCCGCATATAAGGTCCCCTTCAGAAAATGACTGCAACGCTCATTAATGGTTTAAAAATACGAGTGTAGCGATGAAATTCGACACAAATAAATTTAATACGAACCAAATTCTATCTACCAAATTTTATGAGGATCGACCCATAATTGACCCTACCCCCCTATACATGGTCCCCTTCAGAAAATTACTTTAACGCTTATAACTGGCCTAAATATACGAGTATATAGATGAAATTCGACATAAGTAAGTTTCATTCGAGTCAAACGAGGTTTGATGGTGGGTATATAAGATTCGGCATAGCCGAATATAACACTCTTACTTGTTTACAATTTATTTTGGTCATTAATAGTACTTTATATTTTTTTAAACTATTTTCTTCTTGTCATCGTTATTACAAAACAAATTTAAAAATCTATTTACCAAACAAATACGCGGAAGTTTATTTACGTTTTTAAATGACTTTGATGGAATTAAAACAAACAAATTTTATTTGAATTTTTTTAAACAGGTTATGAGATGAGAGTTTTGGACTTGAAAAAATCAAAACTGCATAACTGTATTTGCTGAACTTAAATATAATTGTTGTATAACAAAACAACGGCCGGCATATTAAAATAAACATATTAAATACTAAATATAAATATAGAGTTCAAAGTCATTAAAATGAGATACAAAGTCAAGGTCAAAATATTAATATTAAAAATCAAAACAATAGTGAATCTGTAAATTAACAACTTTAACAAAGGAAAAAAACTTTGTACCGTAAACTTTTAATAATAGACTCGTGCGTTTACGATGGGCGTACATAATTGTTTTTGTTATAGAAAAAAATGAGTGTGGAAAAATTTAAATAAAATGGTGTCTTGAATGTTTGTTTTCATTATGTTTACAGATTGATTTGTAGAAATACATATTTTATGATCTACACTACATTAAAGTTTAAAACTTGACCTACACCAATTTTATATAAAATTTACCATTCTCTATTTGCTCGAATTATTAGTAATCTTATGCTTATGAGTTGTTGTTCATATATTTTTTTTTACATTCAGAGATGAGTCAAGTTTTCAGGCTCTCCAAAGTTTTAACGTTTAACAAAGTTTACCCTACTGAGTAGATTTTTCAATGTGTAATATGCGAAGCCCGAAGTTATATGGACAAACCAAGATAATCCACTAATTTTCTCAAAATATGCTCAGACCAAACAAATAATTTTGTAGTTTTACTCAGTAACTTCTTTTTTTCATTTGATCAAACTACATATCATTTTTAGTTCGCCCTAATCGTCAAATATTATATTAATTAAAAAGGAAATACCTTTCCATGATTCATTCATTCATTAACCAAAGTTGTTAATTTTAAAATCAGTTTACATTTAAATACTGACACCCTAACCAACAGACATTAATTTCTCAAAACAAGACGGGTTTTTATATCCACCATCAAAAAAAGGTGGCGGTATATTGAATTTGTCATTCGGTATACCACACATCGGAATGTTGACCCTATGCCCACAAAAGTTTGGCTTTTATTGGATCCTAAGGCCACTCTGGAAGAGCTAGAGGACTGAAATTCAATTTCGTTGCAGGATTTCATCAGGAATAAAGTGTAAAAAGTAATTGTGTTGTTTAGTTGATATTATCATATTATGTTGTTAAGTGGACATCGGGTCATATTTAAACTTATCCTCCACAAAAGATTGCTCCTTATTGGATCATAAAACGATTTACCCATGTCCATCTAATTTTCGAAATTACTATAAAGCTCATACAGTAGCATCTAGAGAACTGAAATTCTCTTTTGATAAGTTTTGTTTGGTCAGGAATAATGTTTAAATAGTGGATATCGGGTCATTAATATTATTAATAATAATATAATATTAATATTATTCTCCACATAAGGTTTGTTCAGAAAAAAGTTTTAATCCAACTTAACTGGCTTAAATATATAAGTATAATGGTGAAATTTGTTTTAAACAAGTTTTATAGAAATCAAAATCTTTTCACCAAGTTTTATGAATATCGGTTCATAATCCTAATTCCCATAAAGATCCCCTTCAATTGTTATAACGATCAATAACTAGCTTTAAAATCCCGGTGTAGATACTAAATTCGACACAAACCAAAAATCTATCTAGGAAATCCTATGATGATAGGTGCATAATTGACTCTACCCCCATATAACTCCTACAGAAAATAAGATTGTTGTTTTTTTTTATCATATGTTAAAAGATCTGCATATTATCTTAAATATGAGTAAATCCTCGTCTATAGTCTAGTCTATAGTCTAGTCTATAGGCTAGTCTATAGTCTAGTTTATAGTCTAGTCTATAGTCTAGTTTATAGTCTAGTCTATAGTCTAGTCTATAGTCTAGTCTATAGTCTAGTCTATAGTCTAGCCTAGTCTATAGTCTAGTCTATAGTCTAGTCTATAGTCTAGTCTATAGTCTAGTCTATAGTCTAGTCTATAGTCTAGTCTATAGTCTAGTCTAGTCTAGTCTATAGTCTAATCTATAGTCTAGTCTATAGTCTAGTCTATAGTATAATCTATAGTCTAATCTATAGTCTAGTCTATAGTCTAATCTATAGTCTAGTATATAGTCTAGTCTATAGTCTAGTCTATAGTCTAGTCTACAGTCTAGTCTATAGTCTAGTCTATAGTCTAGTCTATAGTCTAGTCTATAGTCTAGTCTATAGTCTAGTCTATAGTCTAGTCTATAGTCTAGTCTATAGTCTAGTCTACAGTCTAGTCTAGACTAGTCTATAATTTGTTTAGTACTTTAAAACCTAAAAAAGTACTCTTTATGTTATATGTAGTACAATTTCAAAATTTAAATTTTACATTACCCTTTCAAAATTTAAACATTGTTTGATAGAGGGTATATACGATTCGGCATAGCCGACTGTAACACTTTAACTTGTTTTTTCTCATAGCATCTTTCCTATTTTAAGATAAAAATATTAATTTTAAAACAAAACGTTTTTGCAAAACTTTTGCATATATTTACAACTCATTTCAAGATGAAGGTTGTGGACACAGTGAACTTTTTGAAAATCGAAAAATAAAAATAAGCAATTAAAATTGTATTTGGTTTAAATCGCAAAAACTACTCCATATTAATTAGCCATTAATAAATGTATACGGAAGCTGAATTTAAAATTTTAAATAAGTTGGACCGGACCCATAGCTAAAAACGTGTTTCAGTTTGATGGATAACAACCACAAAACATTTACGTTATTTTTGTTTAAAATTTTGGCAACATCCAATTATTCAAATATTTAAGTATCTCAGACAATCAAGGTGTCTTAAAATGATGGGCAAATAAAAAGAAGAACGAAAACTTTAAGATTTATTTATTTTTTAATGATAATTTTATTTTTATTTTTTTCTGATTAGTAATAAATATTTCAAATTGTTGTTAATTAAGAATAAAAGTGTTAAATGTTTACAATTTTTAAATCTTTGTTAATTTTAAAATTGTTTATTCATAATTTATATTTATTTATTATTTTTTTCACTTTTAGCTGAATACGTTAAACAATGTAGACGAGATGATCCTGAGCTATTGAAATGTTTTATGGGTTCTTTGGAACACTTGAAACCTTATTTGGCACGCGGTATACCTGAGATTGAGGTATGTTTTACAGTTTTGCGCACTAAATAATATATTATAGAGATTGGTGATTTATTAACTATTTTAAAAGATACTCAGTAAATGTTCACATGAATGTCAAAGATGTTGGTGCAAAATTTGATGATGATAGTTTTAATAATATCTTAGATATACACAGAGAGAAAAGGAAATATACACGCCTGGTACCAAATTGACATCAAAGAGCTTACAATTTTTCAATAACATCCGTTGTCAAAGTACATACATACGTACGACAACACTTTATAATGTTGATAACGCAACGTTATCAACATTGCAACAATTTGCTGTCGAAATCTAAATTTTATACACATCTGTTGTCTAAATGTTAACAAACGTGGTAAGCTCACTATTGGCAAAAGATTGTTTGTCAATAGTGAGCTTACCACGTTTGTTAACATTTAGACAACGGATGTGTATAAAATTTAGATTTCGACAACAAATGTTGCAACAATTGTTGCAATGTTGTTCACATTACATAGTGTTGTCGTACGTATGTATATACTTATAAACTTTTTGGTGTCAATTTGGTACCAGGCGTGTTTATTTATTTTTCCCTCTGTGTACGACTTTTTTATTTAATTCATATAGAAGATACGAGGCCCCCAATTGTTTGTCCGCACATTTGTATTAATCTGTTTTATTTTCTCAGATATACTAATGTATTTTCTTCATTTGGATGGTGCCCATCTACTATAGTCAGTCCTCTCATTTTATCCCTAAATGGTAATATGTGTTTCAATGTTGCTAGTGCAATGTTTGGTTGCCACGCCTCTTATTGCTAGTCCGTCTATTTTATTCCATAAGTTCATATGGATTTCAAAATTGCTCGTGTAAAATTTAAGGATTTTAGCTCAAATAGTTTCTTTGTCTTTAATTTATATGGGAGGTGCCACGCCCGTATTGCTAAACCAGCTTTTCCCCCAAATTGTTCATGTGGATTTTAATCTTGACCATGCCAACTTTGAGAATTCTAGCTCTGAAGGCTTCCCAGATTTGAGAGAGGTACCACGCCCCTTATTTGTAATCCGCCTATATTCATAATGATACTAAAGTGTCTTCGTTAGGATTCTAACTGTTATACTGTATTGAACATATGCAGTTAAATAAGATCTGGCAACATTAGCCATACAACAATCTGAAAAGAGTGTGAACTGAAAATTTTTGTTTGCAGATCAATTTATTGTCTAACAATTGCCGGGCAATGAAATTGTAAGGTTTTCTTACAACCGTTTGAACTGACAAATTACCTTTTTCCAACAATTTTTTATTGTCAGTGCATTACCAGATCTTCCAACGTTGTATGATCTGACAGCAGTGTATACATAGCTGTAAACCCAAATATGTATATACATATATATATTCTGAATTCTGATAAGCTTCTAAGAAAATCTAGCCACCATAAGGGAGGAATATAGAGACCAAAAGTGAGGAATATCACGATAATAAATTGGATTCGAAAATCTAATCTAGTCTATTCCGATATTCAGTTCCCAATACTTTTAGCATGCCAAATTTCCCGAAACAATTCCATAAAAATTACAATAATTTCTTTGAGGATTTGATTTAGCAGAAAACAGATAATTCGTTTTAGCCATTTTTAATCCTCTTTTCAGCTTTTATTGATATTGTTTTGATGCTTAACCAGTATGTATGTATATGTAAATATACCACTTGAAAATATTAAAATATCGGTGTTATAATTTTTAATGTTTTTGTTAATGTTTTTGTTTATGTTTACTTTTTTCCTCATCTTCAAAAGGTCAATGCAAAAACAAAATTTTAATATTTTGTTAAACACTCTTTTTCATTAATTATTCAATATTAATGATTTTGGCAAAACTGCAAAAAAGTAGATACATATTATGTATGATGTTCTTGGAAAACATTAATTTATTATTCAAATATAGGAACAAGTTATAATTAAACAATAATATTTAAACTATTTTATTATATTATTATAATGACCTATAATTAATTGTAATTTTCAAAAAATATCATTCAATAATATACACTTGAACTTTTCCTATTTCAAAGACTTACATATTTTTCATTTCATTAAATTTTTATTTTAAACAATCTTTTCCAATGTATTTTTCTGGAAATTGACATGTAATCGATTACGAAAATTTTTACTGTAAAGAAATTTTTGTGGAAAAACTAAACTCAAACTGTTTCTACGATTTCAACTTGTTTTCGCCACAAGAAAACCAACAAAAAAATTAAATGCACTAAAATGCAGTTTTGTAAATTGAGTTTACTCAGTCAGTGAGTTAGTGGCAAAAACACAGAAATATAATTTTCTGTTTGCCACATTCACTGATGCAACAATAAGTTGTTCGCTGCAAACAAAAAGGAAATAAAATCGTAGAAAAAGAGAAATAAGAAAAAAACTTGCTAAAACTTATATAATTTCCTAATATTTATGTGACTATCATGCCGCATTAAAGGTGTCATATAGTGAATATCATTAATGAACAATAATTTATTCCCATCCCAGCTAGCATTTGGAAAATCGTTGGATGATTAATCAGTAAACTGAGTCATTTTTGACTCCTTTTGATGACCTAAAAGTGATTAATAAGTTGAGCGCTTACAAAATTATTAGAAAATGATCCCGATATATGATTGAAAATTGATTATTTGAAAAACAATAACAAAATGTATTGCAATCATAAATTGATCATCCTGGTGTTTTAAATATGATAGTTTTAAAAACTTATTTTGTGATCATATTTCGAGCAGTTGGAAGATTTAAAATTGTTTCTTGTGTAATTGTTTTTGTTTGCAATGGAATAGCAACACTTACACTTAAAAATTACTCAAAAACGATTCAAAAATGAGTCGAAACTGATTAGAAAATGGGCTCAGAAAAGACTCTTTTAGAAGAGTTGGCAAAAAGTTTGTGTGGCCTAAAATAAATTGATATAATTCTCATTTCGTTTATAAAATTAAATGTATAAGTATTTCAATTTGTGTGATATTTATAAAGTCGATCTTCTGTCAAGGAAATTGAAATTATATTATGCTTTAATTATAATAATTTTATATGTTTAATGATCTTCTACGGAAGATAGTTGGGTGACTACTCACTAAACTCCAATTAAGGAAGTTCAAAAAGCGTTTTCTGTTGTATTGTAAATATTTGTCTGTAACAAACATACATTTTCCATTGAAATAAAAAATTCATCAAAAACAACAAACATAAAATTACTCAGAAAAGACTCAAAAATGACTATAATATGATTCGAAAATAATTCTAAAACGACCAGTAAGTCGGCTCATTAATGACTCAAAAAAGATTAAAAAATGAGTCAGAACTGATCAGAAGTGGGGCTTATAAAAGACTCGTTTAGAAGAGTAGCGGGTAGGGTACCATTTTTTCCCGACGAATGTATCATATATGATCAGAAAATGAGCGCATATATGATCATTTTAATCGTGCAGAAGAGTCATAAATGACTCGAATGTGATCAAAAAATTCAAAAAATGCTAGCTGGGTATGTGTTGTATGAAGCTAATATTGGTACCAAATGAAAGCTGGAAATCTGTACATTTTATCTATATTTATTTTATTCTAAGACGATCTAGACATGCCTGTCCGTCCGTCTGTCTGTCTGTCTGTTGAAAGCACGATAGAGTCCGAATGGAAAGAGCTAGAGGGTTGAAATTTCACATAAATATTTCTTATAAGTAAGGTTTATTTGGTATTGAAAATGGGCAATATCGGTCCACTTTTTTGGATAGCCCCCATACAAGTGGCCCCTCGAAATGCAGCTTTAACAGCCATAACTTGTTTAAAAATACGAATATAGCGATGAAATTCGCCATAAGTCCAAAATCAATATGCAAAACTTTATGAGGATCGGTCCATAATTGACCCTACCCCCATATAAGGTCCCCTTCAGAAAATGACTTTAACGCTCATTACTGGCTTAAAAATACTAGTATATAGACGAAATTCGACATAAGTAACTTTCATAAGACTCAAAATCTATCTAAAAATTTTATGAGGATCGGTCCATGATTGACCCTACCCCCCATATAAGGCCGCCTTCAAAAAATGACTGCAACACTCATTAATGGTTTAAAAATACGAGTGTAGCGATGAAATTCGACACAAATAAATTTAATACGAACCAAATTCTGTCTACCAAATTTTATGAGGATCGACCCATAATTGACCCTACCCCCCTATATAAGGTCCCCTTCAGAAAATTACTTTAACGCTTATAACTGGCCTAAATATACGAGTATATAGATGAAATTCGACATAAGTAAGTTTCATTCGAGTCAAACGAGGTTTGGTGGTGGGTATATAAGATTCGGCATAGCCGAATATAACACTCTTACTTGTTTAATCCTGATAAATTGAAATAAATAATATTATTTTTAACTAGAGTTTCTCAGCTTCATTTCATTTTAATTAATATTAATACCAAATTTTGTATATAAATTTGAAATTCCATCTTGTGAAATCGTATGTCCTTTCAACTTTAGGGTCTTTTTTCAGGGGCATAAGAGCTGATTATAAAAAACTGAGTACACACATTTAATACAAATGGTCCACAATTTCCTGTACACATCGATTTTTTCATGTGTCAAAATATCAGTTGCACTGTGTTATATATAATTCCTAAGTTTCATTTAAATCGTTTGAAAACAAAATAATATTTCAGTATGGTATCAAGAAAATTTATCATTTTTGCATGGCCTGGTTTTGACCTTCAAAATTTATGGGTTAACATTATTCAATTTTACTTAAACTTCAGATGTATGTTTCCTATTATCTGGAATTTTAGATTCTGAAAACGTTTTATATAAAATACATCACAAAGGAATTAAGGCTAATTTTCAAAAATATTACCAAAAAATAATAACCCCTGCTTTTGGTAATTTTGAGACCTTAATTTATAAAATCCGTTATGCGGTCCGAAACTCCAATCTGTCGACTTTAACCAATTTTCGATTTTTGACACGAAACTGCCCATATATATAACTTAAAGTATAAGACTAGAGGATTGGTGGGTGATACGGATTTGTTATTAACATTTTCAGAATCAGCACGCCAAGGATTAATTTTAAATATTTTTTACAATTTCTAAATTCATTAAAATTTATTACAATAAAAACTTCTTAATTCAAAGCTATAAGTAAAGTTAAGTTTTATTTTTATTATTTTACAACATTATAAAAGTTCAATAAACTTTAATGAATAAAAATTCGTTAGTCATAGGCAATTTAAACGTTTAACCATCAAAAAAACATGTGAAAATACATAATTTTGAACATGTATGACTCTTTAGAAAAAAATAGTAATTACTTACATGAACAAAATGCAGTTTTAAAGTTATTTTTTCGTGCAGTAGTACCTACTCGAGTACACAAAACAAATTTCGCAACATGGTTATTAACATTAATTTACGAAAATGATTTAACAAAAAAACTCAATGCAGTAAAGATAATTTTGTTTTAATAAATATTTTATAATATAATTATTTGCAGTTACCTTCAGTAGAACCTTTCAAAATGAACACATTGGCACTGCAGTTGACCGATGGACCACAAGGTTATAAAATCACATTGAAGAATATGGAAGTGTTTGGTGCCAGTAATTTCCAAGTTAAATCCATGAAACTCAGTGAGAACGGTGAACCTTTCGAGGCCAAAATTCTATTGCCAAAATTGAAAATTGAAGCCAAATATACCAGTTCTGGTGTTTTGTTGATCATACCCGCCTCCGGTGGTGGTGATTTCCATGCTGTATTTGGTAAGTCATTATAGAAGACAATTTTTAAAACGTTTATTTTATTTATAAAACTTTTTTTATTATTTACAGAGGGTTGTGTGGCAGATTTGACTGGTAAAGTGTCGACAAATGAAAAGAACGGTGCCACCTATTTGCATGTTGATTCTCTCAGCATTGTCATCAATGTGGACAAAGTCAATATGATGATTTCAAATGCTTTCAATAATAATCGCATTTTACGTAAGTTTTCTTACTTTTTTATTGCAAAGTGCCAAATTTTTAATTAAATATATTTATTTTTCTTACAGTTGAAGCCACCAACTTGTTTTTGCGTGACAACGGTCGCATTGTTTTAGAAGCTATGCAGTCTCAATTGCAAAAGAAATTGGCCATGGAATTCGGCAAATTGGCCAATCAATTGTTGAAAAATGTTCCTAGAGATTGGTTTTATGTTTAAATTTAGCCCTAAGTCTTATTTGTGTTTGGTAACTCCTGTTGTAAATAGTAATTGTTATTTGATCAAAAACAAAATATTTATACGATTTTACTCATATGTATTATTTAATATTATACTTAACGTATTAAGGAAAACAAAAATATAATTAAATTGTTTGGAAAATATAAAAAAACTTTTTATTATAAAAAATTATTAATTTATTTATCTTATAATTTGAGTAATACTTTTACACGTGTTACGCAGAAATCGTGTAGAAATTTGAATTTGTATGTACATACCATCATATCAACCTCAGATTTGCTAATTTTGAGAAGGCCTGTCCTGCCTGTCCTGCTCTCGTTAGGGTCACCCCATAGAATCTTTTTTTCAAATGGTTTTGCGTTCGTCAGGTAAACTACCTCGAGCTCCCTTCCTTATAAAGCTATTACATTCGCTCTTTTGTTATCGACTACTCCCGAGTGGTACAAATGAGGTCGCCAGGTTTATTCTACACCAATTTACGTATTCCGTTAGTGCTCGGACTTCTGCCTGGAAGCTTGTGTTTTAATATGGTAAAAGGGGGTATATTTATATTTCTGGGTCTTCAATATATAACCCCAGTTCCACTTTGTCCCCTAATATAGAGGCATCCGTGTAGCAACGGATTCCTACGGATATTTGCTCTAATGTTTAGCTTAACCAAGACATTCTATCTGGGATCAGTGTTTCAAAGTTCTATGTCTGGTATGCATGTGTCCAGTATACATTGATGACGTGTCCTATAACCGCTTTAGGCCGGTTCGCCTAAAGTTATGAGCCGTTCGTCTGTAAGTGTCGTTTCATATCTTATATATATGTTTGAAAGGGAGGAATATCTAGCAACGCTTACAGAGCCTTGGTTGAAGCAGTACTCATGGCAACACTTATACCAAATCAGCATGTACGCTGAACTCCCTGTAGTAGTTTGATATTACACTTTTTGTACAAAGTCTACCAGATTATTGAAGCATAAGCTAGAATTGGTTTAATAACACTTTTATAAAGTCAATGTGTCATAGTGGGACTAAGGCCCCACCCATTTTATGCCTATGGTTCTTCTAAATAGCGCTCAGCATAGGTGTGCTTTGTTGATACTATGCTCTATGTGGTGTCTCCATTTCCGGTTAAGGATTACACTTAAGTCCTTAACTTTGTCCATCATCGGTATCTTCTTGTCCAGGAAACAGGTTTCAGTATACTTAGAAATTTTTGTCTTTCTTGAGAAAAGAGAGATTTCCGTCTTCGCCGGGTTAACATTGAGGACTCTTGGTTGAGCCCAGCTCAAGGCCGTATTCAGAGCCTCTTCAGCTCTTCTACACAAGTAATTTGGTTCCTTTCCCCTTTGGTCTAAGTCCTTTCTCGGTTAGGATTCTTAAGAGGCTATTGATCGTGGTTATCCAGAGTAAAGGGGACAAAATGCCATCTTGTGGTGTACCGCGAAATACCTTTTTCCTGATAGTTATATCGTACATCTTGCAGCTTATCTATCTGTTCCTTAACATGTAGTTGATGCAGTTACGGAGCATTGGTCAACATAAAAATCAATGTGCACGTTATTGATGCCGCCTTTGTTTTCAATGCATTCCGTTTGCTATATAGTGGACAACTTCGTTTTACGCGGTTTCCACCGATCGTCCGTTTACATAAGCATGCTGCTTATTTTTGAGGTCTTTGCTTTTAACCATGCTGTCGACTATGCGTTCCATGGTTTAACGTAGGAAGGACGTCGATAGGTCTTAGCTGTCGCATAACTAGGTTTTGCCTGATTGTGTAAAGATATTACCCTTCCATTCTGCTAATTTCAAGTATGCAGTGAAAACCTTTGACGGATGTACGGAAACCAGCCCCGCCTTCATCTGCAAAAGTGTCGAAAAAATACCATACGTCCTGAAGCTTTATAGGGTGCAAAGCACTTGATTGCCTCCTTAACCATGTCAGTTGTAATCATTGTTAGCCTACCCATCCACTAATATCGGTTCATCTATGATAACCGATATATTAGGTGGGAAATTATAGTCCTTTAGGAGTTTCATTGTCTCCTCCAGTCTCTTCCCATGTCATCTATCATAGATTCTAGTTGGACATGAGTTTTGGATAGGAAATTTTTATCTTCAATACGCCGTTCCCGGTTAAATAGTTTTAGAAGAGTCTTTTAAGGTCAGGTCTCCTCTGTTTCCCGAGGTTTATCCTGGGCAGATCTTCAACCAGGGCATTTGTGAACGTTTCTAATTTTTTTCGACTAAAATGGGGGTATGGGGTTTCTTCGGAGACTCTGGACTAAAATTTGAGTTTAAGTTTTTCTGGCAACACTGGTAGTATTAAAGTTATTTTAAATTGTACAGCATAACTTTCAGCGCATGTACTAGAATTCAGTATCGGTTTGTGACTCGACTAATATTAAAGTATGTGCTAAATGTATTACCATATCATAGTTTTAAGTTATTGCCACATTAAAATTCTACTTTATTTTAGTAGGGTACAGTGTTGCCAGAAATATTTTGACTCTTGTCCCCAAAAAATCCTAATTTTTAAATTGAAATCCTCATTGTTTTGCCCAAAGACATCATCATTGAATATAGCTGAGACAATAATAAAAATTTAAAAATAATAAAAATTTTTGTTGGAAACAATGAAAAAATAGCTATCTGAACCCTTTGACAATTTTTGGTAGGACCAATAGGTGAAAAGTAACACTCATTTGAAGAAAACCCTGTATGACCAAAATGTCCAACTTTGACCCCTTCTAAGACCGACAGTTCTGGACCGATAGCACTCAAAATTTGTATCTGGCCTACTATCCAATAGTAGTAACCTTGGTGCAAATTTCGTCAAAATCGATTTTTTGAGTTGGGTCACTTGATATGAAAGTGCCCATATAAAAAATACAAACTTTTTTCGAATTTTATTTTAATAGGAGAATTCGAAAACATTTTAGCAGAATGATTTATCTATACACAGAACATACTCATGTAGAATTTTATCCGGATATAATTATTTAATAATGAATTATGTGATATTAAGTTATTTTCGGAAGTCGACTTTATATGAAAAAATTTCCTAAAGTGAATCATGTGTACTCAAAAGATAATTTCTGTGTCGAATTTTATCATATACATAGCTTTATTTGACAATGAAATAAAAATGTGCGTTTAACTGATTTTCCCATACTTATGTATATAGCCATATATATATGTATGTATTTCTACTACCACACGGTAAATAACGTCACATTGGGCACTTTTATCAAAAAACTCATTTTTTGGTATATATTTTTTTCGCATTAGGAATTTCGGTATTTGTATATAGAAAATGAGATAACTCGTAACGGTATTATTTTAGAAAAAATTCGTCTATATCCGTTCAAATTTTCCATTAATTCAAATTTTAAATTTGTAATTCTAAAAAATCTCTATGTTATGATTTTTGAACATTTTCGTAAATGCTGTAATAATAAAAGATCCGTTATATTATATATCTATTACAGTTTATTCCCCAAGTCATTATGTTTTCAATGATACCAAGTATTTGTATAAAAACTATAAACTTAATCTCCAGAAAGTATCAAAGTTATACTCCTTTTGATATTTTAAATGCCATTTAAAGATTTTCGGTTACTAGTCCTGCCCTAGAGTCTAATTTTATTTCATCGGATCTAGAAAACTGGCGATAAGTTTTACCCAATCGGATAATGAAAATTCCTGGAATAATGTCATTAGTTATCACAGAATTCTTTCAAATTTACCACTTTTTTTGTTTTAACCAAAATTGTTACATTAAAGAACCTGTTGTTGACCCCTCTACATGGAAATTTTTAGCAATTAAATCACCCTTAAAGCGGAATTATCCGATAATTCAGAAACGTGGTCTCTTGTACCTGTAATTCCATTAAATGTTCCTCAATGTTCTTTAGGAAAGCCATATACGGTAAAACATCACTTTCAAAATATTAGGAACTAATTTTGATAAAGGACTTGGCAAAGACATAGAACATATTACAGTGGCGAAGTTGTGTTCGTAGTCCTGTATGTCCGAAGAGGATACATACATACGTACCATAGATTCAGGAAAATAATCACAGAATGATTTGCATATATACATATGTAGGTATATAAAACATATTCGTTGAGAAATGCATCCTGATATTTCTGAGACCAAGTTATACTTTTCTAAAGTAAGTTCAATATATCTTGAAGAGAAAAGAAGATATATCAGATGTTATGACTTTATTTTTAAGCTCACAGAAGGACTTTCAAACAGCATACAGATTAGCAGAACAATCCTGTTTCTACACAACATATTCGTGTAAACTTGTATCCCGATATCATTATTTAGTAATTAGTTATTTACGATTAAGTGATTTTCAGAAGAGGGCTTTATATGGGAGCTAGGTCAAGATCACAAAATATGTTAAGTGATTTTCAAAAGTGATCTTAATACGGAAGCTGTTATGTGCCGATCCGGAAAAAATTTGTCTTTATAATTCGTGTATGTACTCGTTATTAATGGAGATATGTTTCTTCTCGAAATCATGCCTGCTATATAAGATAATTCATTATCAAATAACAAAAAAAAAACAAGTAAGAAAGCATAGTCGGGCGTGGCCGAACATATGATACCCTACACCAGTTATGAATATTAAATATAAAATATTTTCAATAGGCTTCGTCCTTGGGTCAAAAAAACGTGTGAGCCAAAATTCATCCAATTGCCTTGCGCACAAGGTTTACATGGACAGCCAGCCAGCCAGCCAGACGGACGGACATATCTAATTCGACTCAGAAAACGATTCTAGGCCGATTGGTATACTTTAAGGTGGTTATAGGACGAATATTTTTGTATGTTACAAACATCAGCACAAACCCCTCCCCACTAAAGTGGTGTAGGGTATAAAAATAAACACGAATTATTCAGTAAATTTTTTCTGGATCGACCTATTATAGCTTCCGTATTATGTCCACTTCCGAAAATGTTTATAATTTATTTAGTTGGATTTAAATAAAAGTGTTTGTTTCAATTATGTATGTAAACGAAATAAATTATATTAGTCACTTTTCATTTCAACGATTTTTTAA